TTATAAATTAAGACTATTATGAATAAATGCAACATCTTATAGATCTATTATTTTTTAATGAATTAATGTCATTATTTAACCATAAAACATTTATAATGATTTAATCTTAAAATACTAATTATATCAGAGTTCATTTTCATTGCACGCATCCATATAATTTTATTTCTTAAAAATGTAATTCGTAAAGAATATTCTTTCAACTGAAAGAATGAGGAATAATATCAGGAATAACAATATATTAAAGATAATTTTACTTTTATAAAAACGATTTTATCATTATTATTTTTTTTATTTCAGCATTCTAGCTGTAAAATATTTTTTATTTTTTCCTTGTTTGTGATTTTAATTGAAAAAAATCTAAGAATACAATATATGAATGATATTTGTTGTGGTGAAAGTGGTTAATTTCTCATATTTAAGAATTAATTTACATTTCTTACTATATGCTTTACCTTAACTTTCTATCTTTTACGGATAGAGCACGAATCACAACTTTATGTTCCTAGATTTAAGACGTGTGCAGATGTGAATTCTTCATTAAATCACGAGGAATTATATTAAGTTTCTAATTCATATAAACGCAGCACGGCGATGAACTATAAGTTCCAATTTTATAGATTTTAAACAATAGACTTATAATATCTGATGAAAAAAAAACATATAAGTAAAGAATAATCGTAAAAAGTGATAAGCTTAAGGAGTCTATAGACCGCAAAAATATACTCTATTTTTAGGATTTTTTTTTAAGAAAACTGCTGCATATATTCTTCTACTATATTCTTCTATTATATTCTTCTTTTATTAACATACTTATATTATTTACTTAGGTATATATTTAATAAATGTCTATAAATTTTTATAATGTTTATTAGTTTTTATGTTACAAATTTAAAGATAAGTCTTTTATGTCTTTTAAATCTTATATTTCATGCACACGTAATATATTTGTTCTGTCATATTGTTATTTGTTATTTGTTACAGGATGTTTAATAAGTAACGATAAAACTCTTGCAAAGGGATAGAATAGATTAAAGTCGAAAAGTTCTCTATCGTTATATGTACAATTTTCGCAATAGCTAATACAAAATATTAATTATTAAAAATCGCCGAATATTGGTTTCCTGTAATTTTTTACTTAAGTAATATACTTATAGGAAAATAGCAAGTGACAAAAATTGTTTATTTTTCTTCTCAAAGAGTTCTGAGAATTTTTTCAGAATTTTTTAGTACCGTATTTTTTTCATGTTGGAAAAAATGATTATCAATAAGAAAACGCAGTTTTCTACTAAAAAAACTAAAAAGTTAATAAAAAATTCTAAGAAAATTTTTAGAAAATTATTTTCTTCTCTATGAGAAGAAAATAAACAATCTCTTGCTGTTTTTTTGTAAAGTTGTAGTACTTGAGAAAAAAAATTATTAAAGACCAATATTTGATGATTTTTAGTAATTAATATCTTATTAATTATTAGAAAGATAGAGGACTTTTCGATTCAGTTTAGTCCGCTCTATTCCTATACGAGAGTTACTTATCGAACATCCTATATATATGTATAATATACTTTGATTATAAATATATTTAAGGTTTTTTTTTACATACTGATATTATTTTATAAGATTTATATTTATATTGATAAATTAAATGTATAATTTTTTTAATAATAAAATAAATATATATACTTACGTTTCAAAATTATAATTATCAACTTTTTACGTTTTGACGTATTATAAAAACATTTTTAAGATAATTTAAAATAATTTTTATGGATACAATTAATTCTCTTTTTACAAGTCAAATATGTATATCTATAATAGAAATAATTTGACGATTTATGTTACGAGTACTATTTCCAGAAAAAATAATCTGGAAATTATCTCGAGATATTACAGTGGATTGAAACCCTTGAAAACCTTTGAATGATGATTGCTTCAATTAGAATCAACGGTTATTACCTGGGTGGAGCAGTCGCTAAACAAACTTTGAAATTACTGCTCTCGAATGCGTACTAATTTTGAAGATGACGGATATTTGTGATATGCATGTAAATTACGATCTACAGTGAGTTACATAACATTTCGTGGTTTAATATTATATATTTTCGATTCATACAAAGTTCTACAATGTCGTAAACATTTTTAAAAATGTAGATGAAAAGATAGAGAGAGAGAGAGAGAGAGAGAGAGAGAGAGAGAGAGAAACAGAGAGAAAGAGAGAGAGAGAAAAAATTACAAACACACACACACACACGCGCGCGCGCACGCACGCACGCACGCACATAAGATATATACTCAATAACTGATTTAAAAAAAACAGCAATTGTAATGCTTCCCTTCTTCATTACTTCGTTGAGTGAGACAAAGAGAAAATAAAGAATAGATACTACAAAGTTCTGTTTAGTAATTGCTCTAGCGTCTATCCTTTTTTGTTTTCTATCTGTCTCGTTCAATGAAACAGATAAAAAAGAGAATGAGATGATAAAGAAAAGAAGGCGTTTAGTTAACAAGTTAAATTGAAGAACAGTCATTTTAAAGTAATTCAATTTACTAAAGTATAAAGTATAAAGTAATTAAATTTTAAAGTAATTAAATTAGGTAATTTATTAGAATTATTTTGTGATATTAGAATAATAATTAGAACAATAATTAATCATTAGTACACATGTGTCTTGCACACGGAAAAAAACACAGCTGAAAACTTCACTGATTCAGCAAATCTACAATCGTAATAATATACAGTCAATTTTCTATATTAAAATAGCAAAGTTGACAGCTGAATAATAGCGATTTGTTAAATCATCAAATCTTCTTAGTCGATGTTGAATTCGCGTAATAAATTATATATATTTACCATCCATTAATTTTTTCCGTGCATATTTCTTTCTTCGAAAAACCAGACGCATTAAGTAATTAATTAGTTATTAATATTTATATATAA